GGGAGGCAAACATAATTAACTATTTAAGTGGTTGGGGGTGGGGGTTAAGGGAGGCAAACATAATTAACTATTTAAGTGGTTGGGGGTGGGGGTTAAGGGAGGCAAACATAATTAACTATTTAAGTTGTTGGGGGTGGGGGTTAAGGGAGGCAAACATAATTAACTATTTAAGGAAAGGAAGTTTAAATAATCTGAACGATCACATGGCATGTGTGCAGTAAACTGCCTGTTGTAATGTCTTCTCGCTTTAAAGAGTTTTACATTAATTGTTCTCAATTCATTTATTGTTACAAATACACTAGTTAAGGTCGGCACGACATGCTCTGATTACGAGTAGCCCTCTTTTAATGGCAATGTTTGTGACACAGTAGCCATTACCTTTGTGTGGTAACTGTTTTTGACACAGTGGCCATTACCTCTGTGTGGGAACTGTTTTTGACACAGTGGCCATTACCTCTGTGTGGTAACTGTTTTTGACACAGTGGCCATTACCTCTGTGTGGTAACTGTTTTTGACACAGTGGCCATTACCTCTGGGTTTCAACTGTTAGTGAAACAGCGGCCCTTACACTTTTGGCCTGCATAATAATAATACCGAATGACAAAGTTAAGATGACCACATATAATGTCATGGTGACCATTAGAATTATAATATTACCACAGATAATGTCATATTGACCATCATAATTGTAATACGACCACTGACTCTGTTATAACGACTACTTAAGGATGCATACTTGCCTCGAGCATCGACTCCAGGTCTCGAAACATCTCTTAAAAACATTGGCCTCCGTCTCTGGCACATAGAAGCTCATCACAGCCATGAGGACCAGGACGATACTCAACCGCGTAATCGATACCATCTTGACTTCTGGATGATTTCAGTCATTTAAGATAGTTACAAAACGTTTCAACGATTAAATGTAAATTTTTTTTAAAAGATAAAACGATGGATATTAAAAAAAACAACAAAAAAACAAAAAAAACAAATGAATTTAGAGAATTTATTAGAGATAGGAAACAATATTATATTACACAGATGACCGACTTGCCTTTCTGAATATGTATCTCTGCCTTTTAAAATCAGGTGGCCTAAATCTTTAGATAAAAATAATTTAACAACGTCGAAAGAGATTTTGAAAGCACGTTGATGTGACGGGTTAGGAAACAGTTTCCAAGTCAGCTTCTACGATCAACACACAACCCTCTGTAGTCTATACCAGCGTGCCCCAAACGGTGGTCCGTTACACAGTCCACTATAGTCTATACCAGCGTGCTCCAGACGGTGGTCCGTTACACAGTCCACTATAGTCTAAACCAGCGTGCTCCAGACGGTGGTCCGTTACACAGTCCACTATAGTCTATACCAGCGTGCTCCAAACGGTGGACCGTTCCACAGTTCACTGTAGTCTATACCAGCATGCCCCAAACGGTGGTCCGCTACACAGTCCACTATGGTCTATACCAGCATTCCCAAAACCGTAACGGTTGTCTATACCTACTAATCATAAAAAAAAACGCAAAGAAAATAAAATGTAAAAAAAGATAATAAACTATGACGTTTCAGAAAGATTTTCTTTTGCCCTGCATTGCTCTATGATGTGTTCACCATGTCTGTAGTCAGTACCCTAAAACTCATTGACGGAGATGAAGTCAAACTTACCTACGATGTAACTGGTTAAAAACCAAAACGTCCCGGAGTTTAAGTCAAAGTTCACTCTGATGTAACTGGTAAAACAGAAACTCGCCACTTTCCTCATCCAATTTATGGCCAGAAAAACAACACCAACACATCCTGTTTCCGACGCAGCCTTTACTTCCGTTTGCACTAAATACCAAACATGGCGAGCATAAACCCATTTAAAACCGCTCAGTCACATTTATTTATTTATTAGTGTTAGTTCGGCGAACGGTAGCCCGTGACTCTGTAGCCGCGTGCTGCACTTCGAAGTGATGGATCCTGATTTTTTTAAATATTTTTTTTTAAAACTATCAAATAAATACAGGCGCGTCTAAACTATTTTCTAAGAACTAACCCCCCTTCCCCCCCCCTCCCCCCCCCCCCCAAACATAGCGTTTATCCAAATGAGTCCTCATAAGAAAAGAGTTACCAATGTTAGTGTAACAATTTGTTTTTATTCATAACAAATAAAGCAGGGCTTTAGATAATCATGAAATCTTCTCACACCAATTGAAAAGGTGGAGAGAGATGGGGTGAGAGGGGGAATCGTGGTATATAATTTATGCCGCCACCCTCCAACTCCGCCACTGGCGAATGGAGTGCATGTTTCCTGCCACACTACATCAAGGAAGTAGTTCGACCTAAGGCTCAATGTTTAATGAAATGATGGTCCTCGAATGAGCAATGGTCAACTCATCCACAGCCACAATGTTAACTAACTTACACAATGTTAACTGACAAACACAATGTTAACTAACAGACACAATGTTAACTAACAGACACAATGTTAACTAACAAACACAATGTTAACTAACAGACACAATGTTAACTAACAGACACAATGTTAATTAACAGACACAATGTTAACTAACAGACACAATGTTAACTCACAGACACAATGTTAACTAACAGACACAATGTTAACTAACAGACACAATGTTAACTAACAGACACAACGTTAACTAACAGACACAACGTTAACTAACAGACAAAACGTTAACTAACAGCTACAACGTTAACTAACAGACACAACGTTATCTAACAGACACAACGTTAACTAACAGACACAACGTTAACTAACAGACACACCGTTAACTAACAGACACAATGTTAACTAACAAACACAATGTTAACTAACAAACACAATGTTAACCAACAAACACAATTTTAACCAACAAACAAAATGTTAACTAACAAATACAATGTTAACTAACAAACACAATATTAACTAACAAACACAATGCTAACAACAAACACAATGTTAACTAACAAACACAATGTTAACTAACAAACACAATGCTAAAAACAAACACAATGTTAACTAACAAACACAATGTTAACTAACAAACACAATGTTAACTAACAAACACAATGTTAACTAACAAACACAATGTTAACTAACAGACACAATGTTAACTAACAAACACAATGCTAACAACAAACACAGTGTTAACTAACAAACACAATGTCAACTAACAAACACAATGTTAACTAACAAACACAATATTAACTAACAAACACAATGTTAACTAACAGACACAATGTTAACTAACAGACACAATGTTAACTTACAGACACAATGTTAACTAACAAACACAATGTTAACTAACAAACACAATGTTAACTAACAGACACAATGCTAACAATAAACTCAATCTTAACTAACAAACACAATGTTAACTAACAAACACAATGTTAACTAACAAACACAATGTTTACTAACAGACACAATGTTAACTAACAAACACAATGTTAACTAACAGACACAATGTTAACTAACAGACACAATGTTAACTAACAGACACAATGTTAACAACAAACACACTGCTAACTAACAAACACAATGTTAACTAACAGACAAAATGTTAACTAACAGACACAATGTTAACTAACAGACATAATGCTAACTAACAAACACAATATTAAATAAGAAACACAATGTTCACCAACAAAAATAAATTTAACTAGCAGACATAATGTTAGCCAACAAACATAATTTTAACAAAAAACATAATGTCAATAATTAACACACATAACTTTAGCTAATCAAATATAATCTTTCGTTACAATCAATGTAACAAATATCTCTCTATGGAGCCATGTGCGCTTGTGGGTCGCGTCAACCCATTTTTTTTTAAAGTAGCTTTAAATGAACATGCAGTAAAGGAGCGTTTGTCAAAGGTTTCCGAGCTACATACTGTCTTCATATGAATACACTGGTGAGTATACCAACGTAAAGTATAGTTAAAATTTAAAAAATAAAAAAATAAAAAAAATAAAAATTATGGTTTATTATTAGCATTATTAATACATTTTTAGTTGTTTTGCCTCCGTTCCTCTTAGGGATGCGATGGTGAAGTTTTTGATGCACACAATGACAAGGCCTCGGTTTATACAAAGTGAATGAATAAGCAGGTCCTCCAACAAGAGATTCCAAATACCTCTCCCCAACCCCCCACCCCCACCCCCTTTTTTCCCCCTTCCCGCCACACTGCTGCTGAACCCAAATAGCAGCATTGATCTAATGCAACTGCTTGACACTAGGGGCGTTTCCGAAGTTGCCGTAATTTTTCATTGAGAAAATTTTGTATTACCCACCAATGTTCCCTTTAAGCTGCGCGCCTGCGCGGTCGCGCAGCTATCTCACAGACGCCGCGCAGCAGTTTTGAGCATCCGCGCAGCAAATTTCCATGTAACCAAGTTTGTGCTTATGGGCTGTAAAATTTTGCACACAAAACAATTGATGCTGTAAAACTTTTGCACAGAGCTGTATGATTTTGCACACGAAACAGCAAACCTTAGAGGGACCATTGCTACCCACCAAACCATGACATAATTATTCCTGGCCATTAATTGCCAGTTGGTCAAAATAATGTCCATTTGGAGTGTCCCCCCCCCCTTCCTGACTTCACACGATACATGTTTGTTCCTAAAATAAATCTTAAATCAATGAAAAAGAAACTATACGAAGGACGGCGAGCGAGCGGTGGAACAGTCAATAAATAGTGGGACAAAAGGTGTGTTTAAGGTCGTATTCTCTTTTCAAGCCTGAACATGTCTTGTTACACTGATAGCAATTAAATGAACATTATCAAAAGAACGTTGAACATTTGTAGCACAGAGAGAAGACAGAAGGAAAATAGTACATCGAAAAACAGCCGAAAGTTAGTATATCGATGAGACAGCCGGAAGTAAGTACATCAAAAGACAGCCGGAAGTTAGTACAGTGAAAAGACAGCCGGAAATTAGTTCACAGCAAAGAGAGCCAGAAGTGAGTACAACGATGAGACAGCCGGAAGTTAGTTCTGTGAAAAGACAGCCGGAAGTTAGTTCAACAAAAAGACAGCCGGAAGTTAGTACAACAAAAAGACAGCTGGAAGTTAGTACAACAAAAAGACAGCGGAAGTTAGTACATCGAAAAGACAGCCAGAAGTTAGTACATCGAAAAGACAGCCGAAGTTAGTACAACAAAAAGACAGCCAGAAGTTAGTACGACGAAAAGACAGCTGAAAGTAAATACATCAAAAAGGCAGCCGAAAGTTAGTACAGAGAGGAGTCACCAGGAAGGTAGTGGAGCAAGGAGAAGGCGGGAAGTTAAGTAAGGCTGTCATGAATTCGTTGACACCGGGCCAACCAGGATCTCTGAAGTCGGTCAAGTGCACATTGGTGCACTCACATGTTTTCATCATTCATCAGCGGCTGTCAAACTAGTTTCGACCACCGTCCCCTGTGCACCATAAATTCATCATTAGCGCCCCCTGTCTTACCCCAAACATAAAGGTATTCAGGTCAGTAAATCTCTGTAACAAAGATAACAGCTGAATAACATGTTCTTCTTCTTCTTCTACTATATCTTAAGGGCCCACGATCAATTTATTGATCATTTTGGCTCATATGCATGTAGATGGGATTAGCAATGTTTCTGTTACTGGTGGTGATGAGGAAATCATGCACTAGCGGTTTGAAGGCTGGAGGCAATAGACACAAATGTGTCTAGTGTTGTCGCCTCAACCGTACCTTTTGAAAGATTGTTCCAGTCCCTGATTGTCTTGGGCAGGAATGAGCAGCTCCTATACTGGCTTCTTGCTGTCACTCCAATTTACAGTTAATGTGTTACATGAAGTTGAACTTTTAATTAAGTTACAAAAAAACCCATCTTTGCTTTTGTTTGTGGCTGGCTGGCGGGCAAAATCATCCTACGGCTAATGGATCCAGTTCTCGTTAACTTATTAAGCTCAAACTTGGCTCATAGACTCTTTGCCAATGACAACACATTCCTTCAAATTTTCAGCCCAATCCCTCAAACCCAGCCACTCAAAAATTCAGTTTTTCCTATTTTCCACGTTAAAGATACCATTCCCGATAAAGGCACTAAATGAGTTTCTTTTTAAAAACTTTCGACAGTGCGTTTGGTGCGTAATATTTGATATTCTTCTTCTAAAATTATTGGTGCAATTAATCTGCGGTGTACTATTATAATAGTTCAGGAGCGTAAAAAGAATTATTGTTTGCGAATTTTGGGTTTGGGGCACTAATTGGGATTTTTATAAATTGCGTTACTTGTATGCATGTTTTGTCAAATTTTTATACGCCACCCCCATTGCTCAATATTACATTTTATAAATATTTATGCGAAAAAATGTCTTTTTAGGGGTTGCTTAATTTCAATTATTTCATTAATAAACTTATTAAACTTGATACATCACCATCCCCCACCCCTGTTTTTTAGCGTAGGATTGTGAAAAGCAACAGGTAATAATAAATAGTAACTTGCCTCTGTATGGCATCTTTCCGTCTGCGGGAGACGATAGATTATCTTTATTGCTTGCAGCTCTTGGTGTGGCTGGTGAGATCAATCCTCGAAAGGCAGTCTCTGTTACATTTCCCACACACGAATGCGGTGGAGCAGTATTTACCGGCCTTCCTCCTCGCTCTTTTTGCAGGTGTTTCCGCTCTGTTTTGCTCCTCGGCATGTACTGATCCTGCCATCACGATGCCCTGCCATGAGGATCGATCCTCTGCCAGCTCCTCCCAGTTTGAGATGGCGATGTTGGCCGACTTCATGTTTCTTTTGCATATGTCTAAGTATCTCAGATGAGGCCGTCCAACTGACCTTTCCCCTGTCGCCAGCTCGCTGTATAGCACGTCCTTTGGTATGCGACCAGATTGCA